ATAAAAAAGACTATGACAAAAGACATTCCATTCAGGATTGAAATACGATGAACAAGAAAATTTGGAAATATGATTTTCAAGACTAGGATGTGCTTTTCTCTTAAAAAATCTTTCTTTTTATATCTTAAATTTCACTATGAATTATTTTCACGTACATAATTCGAGTGGGGGGGGGGAAGTGGTAACTATAGAATAGAACATTTATGTGAATTAAACGAGAGCTAATTTTTTCCAGCACCTCTGCCAAAATGGTGTCTTGGGGAACAATTTACCCAATTCTTCTAAAAAAGAAAGAAAAACAGTCAAATTTTCAACAAAAAAACCTCTCCTTCGAGCCGGATTCGAACCAGCGACCTATGGATAAATATCGAGCCTGCCATGAGATTAAGTGCCTACAGTCCACCGCTCTACCAACTGAGCTATCGAAGGATGCCTGCTCAATGATTCAGATTTTAAAATCTAAGCCAGAACAGTTGGTTTGAAACCGTGGTGGTTTTTTTTTATTTAGAGTGTGCTGACAGCAATAACATTGTTTTATACCAAATTCTCAAAAAGGTGCACTTTTCTCCCCACAATTAAAACTAAGAAGTGGTTATTCTGCAAATGTTAAAGAGACGATCAAAGACATGGAAAATATACTCAACGTATCAATTTTACACCCCAAACAACTAGATATTTTATTTATAATGTCTATGGTCCATATTCTCCCAAGTGAACTACCATAAGCTAACGTTGCATAAATTTGCAAGTTCATAATAAATGTAATGGTGTACATCACTTTTCATGATATCGGATCTATGGAAGGCAAAACAAAAAATCCAATGTTTCAATGTACTCCGCCAAATAACCAAAGGTTCAGACGTCGACGAAAAAAAGAAGCTTTCCTTCGAGCCGGATTCGAACCAGCGACCTATGGATTCTTGCCTTACCTTATACGGTAACCTACATATCTACAGTCCACCGCTCTACCAACTGAGCTATCGAAGGATGCATAGGTTCGAGATTCATTGCTAAAACTTGACCATGAAAGGTTTTCAACGGCGAATATTGATCGTGTTTTATTAGTAGCCAGTGTTACAAACACGCGAAGAAATTGTAGCACTACACAATGTGCAATGTTACCCACCCTGAGATAGCTTGCGCCCAAGAATGAAGAATAAAGGAGACATTTTCATCTTGCAACACCACCAACATCCAGGAGGAAAAGCAACAAAACAGTTATTCTATAAATATAGATAGAGTGTCCATTGCTTTTATATTAGAGTTCCTCAATGCATGTTTATTCATTTATCACAAAATCTGAAAAAGGGGCAAAACCAATTCCCCCGGTGAATTCAGCTTTAAATAATTCTTTTATCACAACTACCTGAAAACCAGGACAAAAACAGTGCCAATTTCGACCAAACGTGGGACTCGAACCAATGACCCTCTGATTACAAGTCTTATGCTGTACCGACTGAGCTAACCAGGATCTTACGTGTAATGCTTAGGCCTAACCTATACTTGAGAACTAGGGTAGCCCAATCAGACATCAGAAAACTGTTCTTCTTGTGGAATTTTTACAATTCATATTGATCAGACTTGCATCACAAAAAGGAAAACACTTCGGAAAACAGCATAAAAATGATAAACGTTAATGGAATGCATGCGGACAAAAAGAAAAGTTGAATTATAGTTGAAATCTCATAATATCAATCATTTTGAGGACCCCTTCAAAATAGTCTCATAGGCCTAGTGCTCGTTTGCCATTAACAGCCCTTGAACAAAACTATAGTCGTTGATTCTAAAACACTTTCCTTCTCGCTAGATTCGAATCAACGACCTACGGATCTATTTAGACATTTGTTTCGTACCAAGTGAGCTATCGAATGATTAGCAGATTTCGAGTTCACATTTAAATTTGTAATCGAAAGGCTGTTAATGGGGAGCAGTTTACACGAAGAGGTAATGCCATTTCCTTCCCTTCTTTATATATTGGAAAATTTATCAAGTTTTTAAATGTTGATATGTTTTCTAATCTCGCACTCTCAATCCAAATTTAAAAGTTGATTTGAAAAAGAAAGTGTCCTTCGAGCCGGATTCGAACCAGCGACCTATGGATGAATGTTCGTGGCGGGTCTCACGTGTTCACGTGCCTACAGTCCACCGCTCTACCAACTGAGCTATCGAAGGATGCACGTTCGTACCCTTCATGTTTAAACTATTATTTATATAGGAAGGTTTAAAAAAATCCTCTTGACTAGGATTAAACGATTACATGTCAAACTTTTTGCATGAACATTTTACATTCAGTGTGTTTTTCTTTCCCGTGTTGTTGTCCACAGAACTGTTTTTTTTGCTACTAATTTTTAGAAATATTTTAAAATATTAACTGTTTTTTTTCACTTGAGACAAATACATCCTAAATTTTGAACATGATATGGCCCATTCAAAACACTCCCACTTCTTCAGCAGATAAATTATTTTTTATTAAAAAAACTGAATTCTTTTTCTACGATCTTGATTTTATTCTGATGAAAAAAGGAATCACAACAAATACCTTTTGTCCAGTGCGGAACTCGAACGCTAAATTGAGAAATTGTATAAAAAAATACGTTATGTGATGATGGGATGGGAATATGATTGCCTAAAAATGGAAGTTTAATTATTTCATCAGCTCCGCTACGTTATGTGGAATTCTGCTCCTCTATACAGCACATAGAAGTAATGAGCACATGTAAATATTTATATACACACAAATTAAACAAAACTTTCCTCGAGATGGATTCGATTCACCGTCCCAAAACTATCATGAACGTATATGCCTATCCACCGCTCCACCAACTTAGCTACCGAAGGATATATTGTGATCCAGGATCCGATTTTAAAATATAGCATTTAAGAACGGTTCTGGAACCGTGAATATTTAATAGCATAATTTAAAGGCTTCAGTAGCCCTGTTTCAACGCACGCAGAAAATAGATTTTCGGTAACACTATTTCAGTTTCTTACAAGATTCAAGTTTGAAATTTATTTTGGTCTTTTTTTGAGAGTGGGTAGACCTAATGGGCGGTCTACCCACCCCCTTCACTGAAAAATTGCCTGGGTTAATTTGACCCAAGAAAGGGTGAAAACTGCAAATTTAACTTCGTTTTGTATGACTACAACTTTTGGTTGAATTTAACGGAAATTCTAACCCTAACAATTTGTCATAGAACAACCCAATTTTTGGTAGTTGCAGTTTTCAACCTTTCTTGAGTAAAATTAAACAGGCAATTTTTCAGTGTTGGGCCACAAAAAAAGAGGAAAATCATGCAAATCATGCAGAAAAAGTACCAAATATCTGCTACCCCTCCCCCTTTAACAGCTACACCCCCCTTTGAGCCAAAACTCGATCTGCCCTTGCATCGCCATAAAAAAAAATCAATAACAGACATATAGTGACCAATTCCCCTCCAATTACATGTTAACTCATTGATCACAATAATCTGAATAGGAGGCAAAAATGACGTAATCGCCCGGTATGGGACTCGAACCCATGACCCTCAGATTAAAAGTCTGATGCTCTACCGACTGAGCTAACCGGGCTCTGAATAAGTAAGAAAGAGACTCTGACAAAAATCGTTCCATTCAGGATTGAAATACGATTCAGAAAAATATGGATATATGACTCTCAAGCTTAGGCATTTATTTTCTCTTATAATCTCGCTCTTTGTTATTTCTTAATAATCGGGAGGCGGTAACAGCAGAATAGAAAATGTATGTGAATTAAACGAGAGCTAATTGAAATTGAAATTTTATTAATTTTTTCCAGCACCTCTGCCAAAATGGAGTCTTGGTGAACAATATTTACGAAGTTCTTCTAAAAAAGAAGCGATTAATATTCATCTAAAACATGCCATCTCCTTCGATCTGGATTCGAATCAGCGATCTATGGATGAATGCCGAGCCTGCCATGGGATTAAGTGCCTACAGTCCTCCGCTCTGCCAACTGAGCTATCGAAGGATGCCTGTTCAATTATTCCGATTTTAAAATCTAAGCCAGAACAGTTGGTTTGAAACCGTATTTGAAAAGAATCAATAATTTAGAGAATGCTGCCGATAATTTTTGTATCCAAAAACTTCAAATAAGGTGAACCTTTCTAGCCACAATTAAAATTCAGAAGTGGTTATGCCGCAAGTTTTAAAGAGCCGATCAAAGAGTTGGAAACCATACTCAATATTTCAACTTTTCTAACCAAAAACAACTAGATATTTTATTTATAATGTCCAACGCACACATTCTCCCTAGTGAACTACCAGAAGCTAACGTTGAATAATTCGAAGGTCTATAATTGAGTAATGGTGTACATCACATTTTATGATATCGGATCTATGAAAGGCAGCAAATAATGCCTCAAAGTCCAATGTTTTTACTCCGCCAAATAATCGCGGAAGCGTAACTTAACCATAAGGGCAGGCGTCTACGGGGAGAAAAAGAAAAACATTTCCACTTTTCCTTCGAGCCAGATTCGAACCAGCGACCTACGGATTTTTGCCATACAGTAATCTACATATCTCCACCGCTCTACCAACTGAGCTACCGAAGGATGCGCAGTCTCGAGATTCATTGTTAAAACTTGACCAAGAAAGGTGTTAAACGGTGAATTTTAAACGTATTTTTTAATAGTAGCCCGTGTTTCATATACATGCAGAAATTGAAGCACTTTACTCAATGTCCAATGTTACCCACCGTACCCTGAGCTTGCTTGTTTCCAAGATTGAAAAATGAAGGTGACATTTTTATTCTGCAACACCACCAACATCCAGAGGGATAAAAACAACAAAACAGTTAATTTACTAAAGTAGATAGAGTGTCAAACGCTTTTATAGAGTCCCTCAGTGCTTTTAGATGTAAATTCGTTTATCACCGTAAATCTTAAAAAAAAAAAAAAGGCAAAAGCAATTCCCCGGGTGAAATCAGCTTTTAATTCTTTTATCACAACTATCTGAAAAGAGGACAAAAACGGTGCCGTTTTTTTCGCCCGATATGGGACTCGAACCCGTGACCCTCAGATTAAAGGTCTGATGCTCTACCGCCTGAGCTAACCAGGACCTTACTTGTAAGGCTTAACTCATACTTGAGAACTAGGGTAGCCCCCAAGTTTTTTTTTATTGTATACAGAAACGTTTTCTCAGTGAGTTCAGATGTGTCGTTCTTTCGTCTTAATAATCTGCAAAAAAGAGAGGTAAAATGATGATGTTTCGCCCGGTATGGGACTCGAACCCATGACCCTCAGATTAAAAGTCTGATGCTCTACCGACTGAGCTAACCGGGCTCTTACAGCCTAAAGACGCCTCTGGAAAAATCGTTCCATTTAGGATTAGATTTAAGACAACGAACACGAAAATATGGATTTTTCTTACTTTCAAGCCAAGGAGGTACTTTTTTCCTTAAAATCTCCTATTTTTAATATTCTTTTAGGGATTTCACTCTATTCCTCACGCCCACAATTCTTTTTGTATTTTTTAGAGGGAGGGCTAACTTTTAAATAAAAAATAATTTTGAATCAACAAGAAAAAGTAAATATATGCAGAATGTATGATTTACGATTATTTTTCAGCAACTCCGCCAAAATGGGAGCCGAACAACACTATTCACAGACCTTCCAGAAAAGAAACCAGTCAAACTTCATCTTAAAAAAAAGGGTTTCCTTCGAGCCGGATTCGAACCAGCGACCTATGGATAAATGCCCAACAGTATTCCTGTCACGTGTTCACGTGCCTACAGTCCACCGCTCTACCAACTGAGCTATCGAAGGACCCACGAATAAGTGATTCAGTTAAAGAGTTTTAACAAAAACGGGTTTGAAACCGTGAATTTTGAATGAAGATTAAGATGATACATTTCCAAGATGTACCTATCACAGTTTCGTTTCCGTAGAACCCATGGTATCTATTTACATTGTCATTCATTATTCCAAAATTGACACTATTACAGTTTTGTTCTACACCAGTACTGCAATTAAACGAAAAATAATGTGGCTTCAAAAGACAAGCTTTAAAAGAGACGATCATACACTTTTAAAAACAATTTTAACAATGGCTAATGACAATAGATAAACTTTTGTTGATGTATTGTAGCTCTTTCTTATGCCTCAAAAAGTAAAGTTTAAAGAACGCGAAAGGAAACAGTCAATGTTGATAAAAAAACACTTTCCTCCGAGCCGGATTCGAACCAGCGATCTATCATAAATTCCGGGCCTGTCATGAGCTTATTTAAGTGCCTATAATCACCGCTCTATACCAACTGAGCTATACTCAATTATGCCGTTCATAAAATCGGGGGGGGGGGGGGGGGGACACGTAACGTGATATGTAGTTATAATTTCCCAATTTCTATACCTCCGATTTGCTATTTCCATACTGTGCACAATAATAAGCAAAAAGTTCATTTTATAGAAGGCTTAACATGTTAAAGGGAATGTACAACAATTGCTTTTGCTGCTATTTTCAGAAATAAATGGATTTGGAGAATTAGCATGTTATAGCAAATATTGTTAAACTGACTTGTTTTACATTTTGGGCTTGTTTATGCTGGGAAAAAAACCCAAGAAAACCAATCATATTCTTGTAGGCTGGTTCCCCGACCCCACTTAAGATGAAACGGAGAAACGTAAAGACTTTGGGGAATTGTATGGTCAAAGAATCACTCTAGCAGGCTTGTACCCCTTCACAGGTGTGTAATCTATTGCAAAGAAAATGCGGACTAACTAAATATGAAAAAAATAGCAGCAATTTTGAACAAAGCCAGCGTTGGAAAAATACAGTTTTTTCTTGAAAATGTCAGCAAACCAGGAGCCATGATTTTACAGGATGCTTTAGACTGTCAATCCCTAACAATTCAGTAAGGTATTACGTGATAATTTGATCATTTCGTTTTTTTGATGTTTGCAAATGTTGTATCTTCCCTTTAACTGATAATGCATCCCGCCGAATATAACACCTTAAACCAGGGAAAAGTTCTCAGGTTAAAAAAAAAAAAAAATAAATAAATAAATTAAAAAAAAGCTTTCCTTCGAGCTGGATTCGAACCAGCGACCTATGGATTCTTGCGGTACCTTATACGGTGTAACCTACGTTCCTACAGTCCACCGCTCTACCAACTGAGCTATCGAAGGATGCACAAAATCTAATTCAATTTTAAAACCTTAAAGGGAATACATTGTACATTTGAATTATTTGCGGAGCGAAAACAATGTTTCAGGGTAGTACTAATGTAAGGGGCCAGTTTACTGCAGGGTGTACAAAAATGAAACATAGAAGTTATATCTTGAATATTCTGAACAATAGATAAAATGTTTTCGCCCAATATGGGACTCGAACCCATGACCCTCAGATTAAAAGTCTGATGCTCTACCGACTGAGCTAACCGGGCTCTACGAAACTTGACAGTGCCTCTGAAAAGAAGTCAACCACAATATGTTCAGGATATATGAGGGAAATGATGAACAAGAAAAGAAACGTCTGTATCCCCGGCCCCTCAAAAATCAAAGTGGCATGCACTTTCGTCCAAAATGTCTCCCTTTGAGCTCTGAAATGCGTTTACCACGAAATTGTACAAATTGGAAAGATCGTTAAAAAGTGGAATATAAACGTTCGTTCAACTATTATGAATATACGCGAATGAATAGCAAGGTAAAGAAATTTGGTCCTAATTAATGGAGCCGGTGAGGCGCTAGTCGTTTTTCCAGACATCCATGTTTCTTTTCAAATAGTTACACTGATTTCGAAAAAAAAATAGATACTCATTAAAAACGGGGCCTTATCAACAGCACTCAACGTAGTTCTCGTCTATCAGCTTTTACAATACACAAATGAAGCAGTTAACAAATATATATATAACATTTTCCTTTGAGCCGAATTCGAGCCAGCGACCAATGGATGAATGGGCGTGACAGGCTTGTTCACGTATACAGTCCACCGCTCTACTGGTTATAGCTATCGAAGGATTTACATATATTACGCGTCATTCATTTTTAAAACTTCAGCTGGAATGGAATTGTAACGGTACTACGTATGTGGGATTTTATTGAATTTTATTGAACAGCTTGTTTCAACAATCTTTTAAACATCATCCACAATGTTGTTAAATTTTGCCAAATTATGACCCAACCATATAACTATACGCAGTTCTTGTCTTTTATGCAGCGTACAAATAATTTAAACGCATTCATCCGAAACAAATTCCTTCGAGTCGGATTCGAACCAGCGACTTATGGATAAATTTCTGGCATTTCACGTGCTCACGAGCAGTCCACCACTCTACCAACCGAGCTATCGAAGGATGCGCGTTAACATTGTCCAATTTTTAACATTAAAATTTTCTTTGTAAAAGCCATGTTTGTACTGATTTTTAACATAAGGTCACGTATCTTTCCTACAAAAGTGGATAACCTCTTCCTACGCCACCAGAGGAAATAGCATGTAACACTACTCAGACGTCCAATGCTTCGCACATCGAAAGCAAATAAAGCTTGCATCCAATTTTCAAGTTTTAAGGATATTTGGAATAAATCACAACCCCTCACAACCGTCTCTGAAAAATAAGGGGTTTTTTTTGGATACAGAAAAAATGTTCTCAGTGAGTTCAGATGTTTCATTCTTTCATCTATATAATCTGAAAAAGAAGAGGTAAAACAAAAGATTTTTCGCCCGGTATGGGACTCGAACCCATGACCCTCAGATTAAAAGTCTGATGCTCTACCGACTGAGCTAACCGGGCCCTGTACTCCTATAGAAAGGTTATCTGATAACTTAGTATCAGAATATGTTCAGAATATACGAATTGAAAATTAAATAACGTCCATAACTCCCTCAAAATTTAATGGGCTATTTTCATCGCAAAATGCCCCCTTTTGGGCTCTAAAACGCGTTTACCAAGAACTGAAACAATTGGAAAGATCGTTAAAAAGTATTATAGGCCGAAACGTTCACACAACTATACCTTGAAAATTTACTGTTTCTGATGTGAACGAATATCGGGAATATCAAATTTAGGTTTTGCCGTTCACCGACGTATAAACACTGTATAGTCAGTGTGTTACCTCTCGAGTGAAAGTTGGGAAAAAAATCACTCGAACCCACGACCTCCTGCTTTCTAGTGCAGATGTCTTACCACTCGACCATTGAGCTAACGGGATCGGTTGGCTGGTTCGAATCTAATGAACATAGCAGTGGGTTCCGCATTATCTATTCATAAGATGGGATTTTTTTTATAATTCGATATACATCACCCCGACGCAAAAAAATCCCACTTATGAATAATATCGGGAATATTTTCGTTCTAATAAAACGAGCCGTTGACGCGCTATAGTCGTTTTTTTCCCAGTCATACATGTTTCGTTTCAGAAAGTTCTAATGATTTCGAAAAAAACAACCTTCAGATCCTCAACTTAAAACGCAGTTCTCGTCTCTCACCTCTTCAAGTTCAACACACAAAAGGAACTTAGTGAAAAAAAACCCGCTTTCCTTCGAGCCGGATTCGAACCAGCGACCTATGGATGAATGCCCCTGAATTCCTGTCACGTGTTCACGTGCCTACAGTCCACCGCTCTACCAACTGAGCTATCGAAGGATGCTTATGTACCGCTTTCGATTGTATATGTTTGTCTAAATAAACGGCTTGGAAACTTTGAGTTTTAAATGTATAGCTTATGACACTACCATTTTTTTACCGAGTTTTTTTTCAACTTAACGGGCACTTTTCTTCCTAAATTTAAAATTAAACGATCATGGTTAAAAGAGGCAATTGAAGACTTAAACAAGACAAGGCAAGCCCAGTAAAGCTGGTCCCAGAGCGCACAGAATTCTATTCAATTGATTCAGAATGACGATTCACTGGAAGTCTCTCCATGCAGCAGTCTAGATCTACACAAGGGGGGCCGGATTTAGTTCATTCATGGCGTTACGGGGTTATCCAGTCAAGGGCGGATCCAGGGAGGGGGGCACGGGGGCCATGCCCCCCTTTCAAAACGAACCCATTTTGTTTTTAAGTGACGTCGCAATAAAGGCAGGCACTGCGTACACCACCATCTTTTCCTTAAAAAAATGGT